TCTGAAGAAAGCTGCCCAGCCCTGTGCACCAGCTCCTTTTGCCACTCCTAAGTTTCTGCTTAGCTTGTTTAGTGTGTATGTTAAGTATGTGCACACACACAAATAGATCTGGAGTGATTCTGAACTGTTTGTGGAATCAAATAGCCACAGCATTATAAAACAATTTAGGTTGGAAAGAACCTCTGGCAGCCTAGTCCTATTCCCTGCTCAAAACTGTTTTTTTCAGATCAGGTTATTCAGGGGTGTACCTCCAAGGGCGATTGAGCTCTTGCTGTTTCTTTAAGCCTTATTCCAGTATTTTACCACGCTCTTTTATCTTTTTTTTTTTTTTTACCATAATGTCAAATTGGAATTTGGGATGTTCCAGATGTTTGTTGTCTCTTCTCCTATCACCATGCACCTCAGTGAAGAGACTGGCTCCATCTTCCTTTTATCCTCTGATCAGATAGTAATAGAGAGCAGCAAGGCTTTCCCTTTGCCTTCTCTCCTCAGGCTGAAGGGACCCCAGTGTCACAGCCCCTTCTTGCACCCAGCACTGTGCCCAGCCTGGGTGCCACTGTGGCATCTGCTCTAGTAAGTAATACCTGCTCATATGGGATCAAACTGGTATTTGCTGATGCATTTCCACAGAAAGGAAAGGATCAGGGGCACCTTTGTGTTACTGCCAGGATCCTGCCAAGGTCCTGCTACTGTCTTGCAGCCCAGTGCAGCACAGAAGCAGACTGTGCAGAAGGCAGAGGAATGATTTTCTCTGCTCTTGCCTCAGTGCCCAGCATGGCTCATGTACAAAGTCTTGCAAGGGGACCAGTGCACGGGTCTTTGTCCTGGCCCTCTCTCTCAATTTGCTGAGTTCTCTGTGTCAGTCTGTGGTAGCAGAGATGTGGTAACACCACTTTCTGGTGTCCTGCCTCATGTCACCATTTTAGGAGTCCATTATGTCTCAGAGCAGCTGAGTGATTTGCTCCTCACTTTCCTGTGTGTGGTACTATGCAGACCTAGGAATGTAACAACATGAAACTGTAGCAATTTTTTTCCTTAAGGTAGGAAAGTGGCAGCTGAAAAAAATCTGCCTTTTTCCAGAGTTGCCATGAAGCCTTTGGATCAAAAAAGTACAGTAGTCCAATAGTCCTTAGGAGTCAAGTGTGACTCGGTTACTGTGAATACAAATGGTGGAAATTTACTTAGGTTACACCATTCTGTTTTCTTTTTTCTTTTGCTCTTTTTTGTTTCTTCTCTTTTTTTTTTTTCTTTTAATAAGAGTGGCCTTACTTATTGTCTTCTGCATGCTCTGGAGTGTGGGAATACTACATCAATGCAACAATGGCAAGTATGAGTTTGAGGCATAAGAAAATTAAAGATATTTATCAAAGCATTTTCATCTCTTTGGAGAAAATTTTTGTTGCTGAGTTACCATGCTACCTGAAGCAAGCTTTTGGTGGATTTAAGGAAAATAATACAAGTATCACATTCCTCTGTTTTCTGTTTAGCTTGTCTTCTCAGAAAATAACCATGCTTTTTATGATTTTTTTTAGATAATGGGTTTTTACCCTTCATTCCGCTATTAGCATCATGTTACTGTATAGAAAGAGATCTAAAGAGGAATCTTTTTATTCAAAGCTTGTTTTCTTTTGAATATCTAATAGCAAGTATCAAGTGTCTCAATGCTGTGCCTAAACCATCTAGCAATACCAAAGCAACAGCTGAGTTTGTTCTGAATTGAGTACTTTGTAAGCAAATTGTGACTGGCCTTGGTGTAATACACACAGCTGGATAAAGCACAAGGTGCTTTCAGAGACCAGCTGAGAGATGTGGGAGTGTGAGGGAGCAGAAGCAGCTGTACAGACCCTTCCTAGTGCTTTCTATGGAGAATATAAGTATGCTGTATCAGAGATGTTCAGCTGGATGCCAGTCCAGCTGTCAAAACAGAGGCAGGGTTCCCTGGGTTCTTCAGCAGCAGTGTTTTTTCCTCTTTCAACACAATAGACTTGGCATTGCTCTCACTAGCACCACTTCTTTACCTGAGTCCCTCCCAGGCCAAATAGGCTTAATAACCATTTTATTTATCAGAACAAAGGACGAGGTCAAGGTCCTGTCACTGGAGTCCATGCTGGGCTTTGCAGTGGTCAAACAGCCTAACCCAAAGACCAACACTTTTATTAAAAATACTTATCTGAAAGCACAAATCAAAGAATTTTCTTCCATGCTACATTAATAAGTGTGCAACTTCACTAGTAATGTTCAAGAATGGGAGCAGTAACCAGCCTTTTGTCACCTGGTTTGTGAAAACTGGAGGCATCTATGAAATCACATGGAACTATGGGAAAACTCAGGTAGCAAATAGTCTAGAGGAAGGACTGCAGACATAGAAATGGAAGCTTATGGAGCCTGAACTCCCCTGACAGTGCCTGCCCTGAGCTGAAAATACCAACTCACTCAAGCTATCTGCACTTGGACTTCACTAGGCCAGCACAGGCACAGCTTGCCATGTAGATTTATGATATCTGCTGTGCCAAATCCACCTTATCTGTCCTTGAAATTCGTCTGATCCTGGGTCTCAGATCAATAAGCTGTTCTGTACTCAGATAATTCTGCAGAGAACCAGAGATGTCTTGTGCATTTGTAATACATGGAGGACTGTGAGCTGGCTTTTCTTTGGTAGGACTCAATGAATTGTTATATGGAAACAGTTTAAATAAATGTATAAATGCTTTGAAGGCTCCTTCTTTAAAGATGCTAGTCATAAAATCAAAAAGTTTGAAGAACTTTTATTAGGTAATTGCCAAATTTCGCTGCCCTAGACATGCTGTCTTCTTTCAGAAATGCCACTTGGAATTGGTTTCTGAATTGAGGCCAGTTAACTTGTATGCCCTGGAACTTCTCTAGCATCTGAACTAGCATTTCAAATTGTATTACTAAGCTCGGATTAACTGGCTGTCTATGAACAGCTGTCAAACCAATTTCACAAATGGTGAGGTGAATAATTCCAACAAGGATGCAAAAGCTGGCATGGAAGTGGAATACAGCCACTGCCAGCCTCTCTGCACAGTTCAGGGGCATCACCAGTTTAATATGGCCATGGGCTGCTCACGAAGTATAGATTTTACAGTAGCTAGGCCAGACATTTTAAAGTTACAATTATGAGTAAAAGGACTGATTTTGATACCTTGTTTGGTTGGAAAGGGGAGTCTTGCAATTTTTAGTACAGCAATAAACAAATGTAGAATGTGGGAAGAGAAGATGACTCAGAAAACCAGCATAGTCTGATTTTGTATTACAACATAATAAATGGGCTGTTTTGTATGTATTTGAATGTGCATAGACAGAATGCAGATTAACCTAATAAAATTATCCTAATCACTGAGATGACAGCCTCTCTGCAAGAAAGAAAAATTGATCACCTCACATGGAAAAGGAGATGTGTCTTAATTTTGTAGTGTTCTTTCCATGTAGAAAGGATGATATTTCAGATTCCCTTTTTAATGAAGTGCTGGACTTTTCTGTCAAATGGCACTTCATAGAACTCTATCAATTAAATAAATGCTTTCTTCGTGAGAAAATGTTTTGGGGTTGGGGGTGTTCTTTTTCTGGAAACTCAGGTATTGATTAGTTGTTTGTTTTTTCAGACTAAGAAAGGTGAAAAATAGAAACAGGAAGGATTAGGATTAGAAATTGTGGCAGTGGAGCATGGGGCTTTTGTGCAGCTTCCATTAATATCTTAAAACAGAAACCTAAGTGAAAATGTGTCAGCATCTCGGAGCTAAATCGGGTTTATAAAGAAAGGAAGTATTTTTGAAATTACTTTGGAGAACATAGATAGTAGACCTTATATCTCAACAGGAGAGCTTAACCATCTAATGCTGAAGATAGCTACACTATTTTTCCTGAGTTTCTTTCTTTCACCTTAAAGATTAGAATTATTGCTCCTGCCCAAACTCAAGTGTTTGTTAATGGATTTTAATTGCATTTCCCTCTTTGAATCCTTTTGGATTTTTATCCATGTGAAACAATTAAAAAATAGATTAATAATTTTTATGTCATATTGTTTGAATTTAATTTATTTCAATGCAGTAAAATTTAAGATAGTTCTTGTTTCTGTAGAGGCAGACTTAATTGAGGAGAGTGGTTGAAATTAGCATTTGCTAAAATTGTGACAATGACAGTGATGATTTATGACAGCTGAACATTAAATATTTTTTGTCTTCAACTAACATTTCTTGTAGTAATATCCCCCTGAAGGAGATGCAATCAGACCTCAAACTGTTTCACTAATTCTTTCGTACAGAGTCTGGTATGCTAAAGGATTTCACCCAGTGCAGAGTGGCTGAAGTGTCTTTCAAGCTGTGATGAACGTGTTGAGTTTTAATATTAATTCTTTTACTTCATGGGCTCATAGGCTATATTAATATTGCACTCACTTCTGTTACTAAAACCTGTGATAGTAATAAACTGAGAGAGCGTGACACCAAAGTATCCATAGCTTGACTTTATACTAGTTTCATTTATTTTATTATAGTTTTGCTTCAAGAAAGTTTGTAAAAATATATAGATTTTATTTCTCCTATCTTTTAAACATGTACCGGATATATATTATTTTCCATTTTAGCTTAGCAGTTATATGTGTTAGAGAAAACAAAACTGAGTTCTAATTTCAGCTCACAAAAGCTTGATTCAGTTCAATATTGGCCCTGCTTTAACTAAATGATCCCGTAGGGTCACTTGCAGCCTGATTTATGGCATAGAGATTTCAGTGCAATATCAATATAGATCCTTTAAGTTCATTAATTCACACATGATGAGGATTTGCCCTTTGCCAGAGACAGCTTTAACACTGCTTATCATATAATTAAAGACCAATATTTTAATCTGAGAACCTATCTTTTGCTTTCAATTGCAGAATGTATCACTGTTGACATAACATTGGTGCTATAAAGTTCATTTATATCTTTTTCAGATCGTACTTTTTTTCTCTATATATGCTATAAACTCCTAATTGCCTTTAGATATCCCTGAAGACCCAGACATTGCAGAAGAATATTATAAAGATGAGTTTGAATCTTGTTCAGAAGACAGTGAAGAGGAGGAAGATGCAGAATTGTCATGGACAGTCTCTAAAATAAATCACCAGGTATATGTGACCTTTGAGAACACCATATACACTTGATGCTCATTTTCCATGAGAAAACTGAGTTCCTGAGTTCCTTCCCAATGTCCTACTGAATTGCTGATTTTTTTTATTGTTTTGTTTTTGGTTAGGAGTGTGTGTATATATCAATAAGCATGAATTAATTATATGTGTATTATAAGATATTGATGAGAAAGGTTTTTGCATTCTTTCAAGATTAAAGATAACACTCCCATGAATGCCTTAAGGTAGATCATTGTCAGAAAACATCCTTGTGACTCTAAGACACTCAGAGTGGGATACTCTTAAATGCTAGCTGTGATTTAAATTAAAGCTGAAGGTATACTTCAAGCATAAGATTAAAGTTCCAACTCTAATTCCCAGGCAAAGATAGTCACCTCTAGTTCCTGCCTATATTGGACATATTTTCTAGGACAGTGTGATGAACAATGACCCTAAACAGCTGCAAGACTTGATCAGCAATCTGTAGACTTTCCCACCTCACAGAAAGTGCCAGTGAAGAGAAAACTTATTGTTGAAAGGCTTAAAGTAGCTTTATCAGTTAAGGCAGCCACAAGAAAGTCAGGGATTGCAGTGTGAAGGTTGAAGATTATTGGAAAAGGCACCTAATTTAGATTGGATCAGAGTGAGCTGAGATGAATCTTGTCTCCAGTGATCAAGTCTCAGTGAAATCAATAAACTTAAGTGCCTGAGGCAGTTCTGAAAATGGATCTTCCTAAGGCATTCAGGAACTATTAATTTCTCCCATGGGCCACCAGATTCAAGCATGGCCTGCAGTGCCTCTGAATGGTACTCTGGTTCTGCCTAGTAACTGTTACTTTATTCTCTGATCATGAGCAGAGTTTGCAGAACAGGGGGTGATGTCGTCTGCATTTCAGGGAACCAGCCAAGTAGACTAATACTCTTCACTAAATTATATATAACTTGTGGTTTTTGAAAAATTCGAGCTAATAGCTTCTTTGAGATGTGGTTTTTTAAGGCAAAAATAAAGTGCGAGAAATCAGAATTCTGCTACAGTAGCAGGGGATCCTGAAATTTTCCAACAAGTAAAACTTGAAGTTTACTCAGAAACAGTTTCATTTGATCTAGACATGTCCTCTTAACTTTCAAATTAAACCTACTGGATGCCTTAAAATTCAGGAGCAGTTTGTGCAGTAGTGGTCTAAAGAAATTGTTATTCAATTGTAAAACAGTGGCTTAGACAATATTTTTTTCAGTTTTCTAGGTTTATGCTTACCCACAACACATAGACATGCAAAGAACCATTGCCCAGAAAGTCTACCACAAGATACTCTTGAAAACAAAATTACTGCTCATTTTCATCAGCCTCTGAGACAATTTTTCTTTTTTTTAGAATGCCTTTTAAAATTTTCATTCAACTTTCATTGATGGTATCATTAAGTGTTAATCAGTATGTTTTTGAACAGGCAGACTACTGCTTAGAATTAATGAAGGGCAGAATACAAAAATAGATTTCTCAGTAACGCAGAATAAATTAGGTGTTGGCATTCAGATGTGAGTTGCAACAGTTCCTCATGTTGGACTGACTAAAAATTCCATTATAAGAGCTAGCATGGTGGGCTGGAAGAGCCATCCCACTGTCACACCTTTGTCTGTGTCCATGGCCCTGAGGCTTTGCTTTACCAGCACATTGACCCTCTGTGACAGGCCTGCACAGACTGACTGGAATGCACCCCTGTGACCACTGGTCTTTGCTTCTTCTCTGTAAAAGAAGACAATTTTCTGTGCTTTTCTCATGTTGACCCCAGCACCTTAAGATATTCAGTAAGTGTGTTTCTAGGTATTGACACAATTACCTTTTCTATTTCTTGGGAAGTGAAAACAGGCAATTTTTGCTTTCTCAAGTGAAAAATTCTGCAGTAAGTCCAAGATGAAAGCAGACTGAACATAACTGTGTAAATCTGAACATCTATGTTTGAACTCAACAAACAGAAAGGTAGTACTCCAAGGAGAAGTAAGAAAGCATTGTTAGGGAGTAAACATCTAATGCAGCTTGGATGGAATACACAAAGAGGTCCCTCTTTGGTGATTATAAAGGGATTTACAGTTATTAACAGGCACACAACATCTTCCTTTGGATATCAACGGTTATGTGAGATGAATCCCACTCAAAGGTAGGTGGGATCATGCTCAGTATTAATAATAAGTTTCAAATCCTACCAGAATAGCAAAGGTTTGCTTCTGCAGTCATTTACTTAATACCAAAGCTCCTACTTCATACTCTTAAACCCTTTCTTCAAAGATACCTTAAACCAAGCTTTTGGAGGTGCGTGCTAAAAAAGAAATCATTCTACTGCAACACAGTAAGGGTTTGTAAGGTAATTTCTGCAAATCTCTTTAATTTCCAATCCCAAGATTGCTTTACTAGTTACTTCTGTGCAGAGAGTGCAGAAGTGCTACATCTATTGGTGCTCTCTGGTGACCCCATTATTTCAAACAAGGATTTTTAAAAAATCCAATGTTCATGCAGCAGCATGGGGTCAGAAAAGTCATCTTTATGAACAACATATTAAAGTGCAAGATATAGAAAGGGATATGAGCTGTTTATTCAAGCTATATTAGGCTCCCACAGATGTCAAGACAGACTGAGAAGTAGCCTCACATGGGATGTAAGACCACTTAGGAAGGTAGAGTTAGGCACTAAACCATTTTAGTTTTAAAGGTTTAGGGTGGGAGCTGAGACAGTTTTTTTCTCATGTTGATACCTTTCAGTACAGCCTATCTGATTTCGGATACATTTTCCATTTTAGTGGAGTTTAGTGTCCTTTGTTCCTTTCATTCAGAGCAGAAATGCACAGTGACAGATTTCAAGCAGCAATTTGCCAATTACTTTTCCAGACCTCCGCCTCTTCAAGCCAGTGGCTCTTTTCCACGTTTTTTTTTTTCTAGGAGAACCAGTTTCTAATTAGGGGGAAATCATAGAAGAGAATGACAAAAACATTTTAATGTCTGATGCTCAACAGAAGTTTCATCTTGAAAAGTTAGTGTGTAATGAAGCTTCCATTGGCTTCAGTTTAGCTGAGATGCTGGTGGGTGCTCTCTACTGCAGTTCATCACCATGCTCTTAGTGGTTTTTCTCAGTGACCATAATAACAAATTTACCCTCTTCATTATGAAAAATTCTGGTACTGTGATGCAGTAGCTTCCTATTTTCAAATTCAAAGTTGTTTCTAAGATTGTCAAGCCAATCAGCTGACATAAATTATCATATTTACAGCAGCTCTCAGTGGGCTGTGTGCTGTGATCCCAAAGATGTTCCACTGGATTCCTAACACATGTGTTGGAATGGCTGTTAGAAATGGGGTTTTTTTGTCACAGTCCCTTGTCCATTCCATAGGGCTTTGCTTTCTCTGGGATAAGAAAAAAAAAAAAAAAAAAGAAGAGAGAGAGAAAGAAAGAAAGATTAAAGAAATATATTAAATGAAACAGCTAAATCCTCTTCCAGTGCTAAACTCAAGTGGGGAAAAGGCAGGAGTGATCAAAGAGGTGAAAAAATATATTTTGCCTTACAGCATAATGGGAAGAAAACAGCTTTGTTGTTATAATTGGAGTAAATATGATGTCCTGTTGTGAGAAGTCAAAGGTTTGGGAATTACAGGCTTCTCCCATATGTTTTAAGGTTTTATTAAAGCAATAGTGGTGTATATGGTTATTTACTATGCTTTGTCTATCTGTCTGTAGATTTGTGGTTAACTTAGTGATAATGAAAAGAAAAATAATTACAAAGTAGGATTAGCAGAAAATCACAATAACTTTTTAGTTTTGAATGAAAAAGATTGAGTAACTTTTTAATGAAGTCCTAATGGTTCTTTTTTTTAGAAGTACAGAGAAATTGTATCTGTAATACTAAGCCTATCTTAATTCGATATTCAATATGTACTATGTATATTAACGTAAGGAATGCATTCCCTGGCATTTCCTGGCTGCAGAACTGGAAACCCTTGTGCTGACTTGATCCAATCAAGACCCCACAGACTGCTCCAAAAGAGCAAAGAGGCTCCTTCAAACCTGTGAGCATGTGGGTTACCTGCTGTAATGGCCAAGAAGCTGATTCCTGCCTTGCAAACCTCAGCTAAAGTAGCAGAGCCTGTTTTGAATATAACCCCGTGAAAGAACTTGGGGTGAATAACAGTTAGTTTATGCTCGTCCATAACAGCTCCCACTTGCACCAGAAGGTCCCTAAGCAGCTGGAAGTCATTGCCAACATTTATTGCTGTCCTGTTTAGGTGTACTGGCAGTTCCTAAGTTTGAAAAATTTAGAATGAGCATTTTGAGTAAGATCACAGAAGAATATAAAGCAGGGTATCCATTGTAGAAGTGGAGGTCAATATTGTTTCTTTTTATTCCATTATTCTAAGTCTTAAAGGCATAGAATTCTGACTATTTTTAAAAATATATATTTTTGATTTATTTTTTAGCAAGGTCAAGATTTTGACTGTCAGTTTTAAATAGTCAAGAAATGCTGTGTTGTTACATGTGATATGGCAGCAGTTTCTATGCACTCAGAGTCCAAGTTTTTCTTGGACTTTCATAAAACTGTGATATACTTCCTGGACAACAATCGTTGCTTAATGGCCAGAACTTTAAATTTCATCTGTGTACACAAAACAGCATTTCATATGAAAGATATCATGGCAAAACTGTTAGCCATCTGTTTGATGGCAGAACACTTGAAATATAAAAATGTTAAAATCTCTTCTTAATTAAAAATTTTTCAGTTAGTTGTTGTTATTAGACATGTAAGTAGATGGAATTACATGAAAGATAAGTATTAATTTGCTGTGAGCAGCTGTTACAAGCATAAAGATTTTGTCATAGTTAAAAAGTATATACTTGCCTTTTTCAATGTAATATTGTTTTAGATATTCCAGGACTAACTGATGATAAAATGCTGGTATATTTTCAGAGACTGCACACCACCCTCCACAGTAAATATATCTTCTTTAAATTCCATGCACAGTTGTTCTAAACACTTTGTTCTACAAGGAATCTGACTTAAATAGTTGTTTGGTTATAGCATCATTCTAAAGCTTGATGTTTTAGGATAAGAAAACATAGAAAATTTCCTAGGCAATGTAACTTCTTTATAGTCTAGTCTTGACACTTACTGGTGTGATATCCTCTACGTTTGTGGGATTGTGCCTCTGGAACATAGTGTTTGTATTTAAGTCTGTGCTCACAGTAATGCTGTTCCATTATTTCATTTATTCACAGGACAGTGATATGGAGGCAATGGTTGAGTACTTGGAGGGTGTCCTGAATAGCAGCTCATTGGGTAAGATGATATATCTTCTTTAGATAGCAGCAGCTATTAGCAGTCTGTATGCGTCACTGTCCAACTATATCCCTTTTGCAACAAAGTAACTAAAAAAATGTGATTCCCCTTTAAAATCACTTCCTTAATCTACTGCAGAGAAGTATAACAATGCCAAAAGAAAAGGCATGAGTAGTTAAGTGCTTTTGTTGAAAATGCTAAAGCCAGAAAGCTTGATAGTGAGAAGTATAGAATGTTATAAAAAAAAACTTTAAAAAACTTCGCTACTGTAATTTTTTATCCAGAGAAAAATATTTGAGGATATGTAAGCTGGTTTATAGTTTTTAATCCTGGTAATAATAAGAGAAAATAAATTAAAATATTTAATTTTTAAAAAATGATGATCAAGTTTTGGTTAACATTTAATTTATGTAACAGTATCTCTTTACAGGTACAAAGAAAACAGTAAGAATTTAAATTTGTAATTTAATCCTAAAATCTCTGGCAAAATATTGTCTATAGATTTAGATTTTGAAAGCCTGGGTTCTTGTGGTCTGTTTAAAAGCTAAAAAGAAAACTTCCATGAAAGAAGGCTGTTTGCTGTGGCTGCCATAGTCACTGTCCTCGGAGGCCACCAGGCAGGGCTGTGCCAGCAGCAGCCTGAGTGTGAGCTGCATAAAAGGCCAGCTGAGTTCCCAAAGGCTCCCACGGGAACTGCAGCCTCATTTAGCTGCTTCATCTGCACTCGTTCAGTTGGGATAAACCTGACTTGGTGTTATCTAAAATCACAACACAGGAGACTCCTAGGAAGTCCCCCTTCCAGAGATTCATCCAGTGCTGAGCTCTCTCACTCCTCCTTCTGAGCCTCGACAGATGGAAAGAGAGAGCCAAAGAAGGATGAAAGGGAGTAATTAAAGTTGTTGCCATCATATTCTTGGAGCCACTGGTCACCTTCTGGGTCCTATGTCAGGGAGACCCTCAGGACTGAAGGAAGGAACATTTACATCCAGGTTCTCTTCACACTGACAGAGAACCTCCTGTCTCCAAATTCTGCACGCATTTATGCATTTGCAGCATCACTGTCTGCAGTGAGTTTGCAGAAGTTGAAATAAGAACAAAATTTTGCTCTGTGCTTCAATATTCTGTCATTTAATTAAATGAGAGGAATTGCCTTTAAGGCTGCTGAGAATAAACAAGAATATTAGTTGAAGACAAACAGTGGAGTTTTAAAAACAATCTTAGTATTAGAAACTCCCTTATCTTAATCTCTTTCATTCAGTATTAGGGACAAGAAGATGCCTTTTAAAAATTGTAATATTAAAGAATTAAACTGTACTTTTATCGTTAAAAAAATCTCCAACCAGTCTGTGCTGAAACATACAGCCTTTCTCCAAGCTAAGGTAGTAATTAGGTATGATTTTCTCCAAAGAAATACCTATGATGATAATAAGAGACATACCTCCAGGTTCCCTTTTATTTTTGTATGCCCAGTGTCACTGAGGAAGTTTAAACTTTCATTATTTTAAGTTCTTCCAAAATCAGGCTATAAACCTGCAGTTGGGATAATTTTTATGTGTTTGCTAATGTTCATTAATACCTTGCATATTCTTCGCTGGGCTCCAAATTCCCATTGCATCAAAATTTTCTGTGTATGGTGCATTTTACATAGGTTAGATACTTGTTGCCTTTTTCACCCTAAAGCTAGTTGTGTCCCCTTTCAGGTCAGCATTTCTTTAACTGACCACTAGCACATGGTTTATAGCCATAGCATTTCCAGTACCAGCCAGAGCCTCTCTTCTTGTCATCCCATGCCTGTAGTCCTTTACACCTCATCCTTTGTTCCCACTTTTCAAGGCATCTGCTGTTGTACCAGGCCTGTACTTCTCTACATTAATTGAATTAAGTTAGTTATAAATATGTCTTTCTACACAGAATATTACTATACATCTTAAAGGGCAGGTTATATATTACAAGAATAAGTGGAAATAAAACAAAACAGCCCAGTACATAGTAATTAGAAGAACTGCTGCTATAGCTTAAGCAATTAAATCAAAGTTTCTGTCAAGACAAGGCAAGATCAGACAAGCCTGAGGCCTTGCAGACTCAGTTCCAAGTGTGTGACCTGGTGCAAGCAGTGGCAATACCATATACTGGGCCACAGAGCTACAACAGAATTATAATGGCTACTCCTGAAACAGTATGGATTTCATGGCAATAATAGGGCAATAGAAGCAGGAATCTGGGCAGGGCAGAAATCTTGAAGCATCTTTCATTGTTAAAGTATTTCAAAACAATTATGAGTCATTTCAAGAGGTCATTAGAGAACAACCAAGAAGAAAAAAAATAGAACTTTTTTTTCTTATATCAGCAAAGGCTGTGCTAAAAAGGATCCAATAAATATGCATTATTTTTCAACAGGTGGAATTTGTTTAGTATAAACCTCAGTGTTTATAAAAGATTTTGGATATAACTGAGTTTTCTCCTCAAGAGGTTGCAGAATCACTCCAAATATCAGGGCTTTTGTGGTACACAATTGCTTTTTTGTTGGCTATACAGGTCCGTGTGAAGTGCATTTGAAATAAGACAGGCCATGCTGATAAATTGAAAAATTTGGAAGATCCCAGGAAAAAACTGCAAAAGACAAGGGAGTTTGAAAAACTAATTTTAAAATTTACTAAATTTGCTTGGCATTAAGGAAGAGAAGGTTAGGGGCAGTTGGGTTACTTCGTATTCTGTAATAATCTGGAAAACACATCTGATTCTAATATTTTATAACTTGTACAAAAAGGCATTGTTGGATCTCATATGTAGCAGTGAAAGCTAAAGAAAAGAAATCTGAAGTAAAACCAGAAGTTTGTGATTCAGTGCAGATAACAGCTTCACAACACATCACGGCTTATTGATGGCTTCTTATGGAAGAGATGCAGTAGATATGCATCACCAGTTCTTTGGTCATTAGCAGAAATTTTTGTAGAAATGCCTTTGGATCATAATTTATGAAAACTCTTACCAGATAATGCACCTATGAATAAATTCCTTTCTCTACAGATCCTCAGTGAAAACCTCAAAATGGTGCTCTATCACCTGAGAGGACAAAGATCTTTTGCCCTTTGCCCTGTGCTGTTTCTGCAGTACTGGGTTAGACACTGGGAGACATTGAAACACGTTTAGAAAACCACAGTACCTGGTTTTTGCAAAGTCAGTGCTCTTGTTGTTTCATTTGATTTTGTTTAATGGATCAAGAATGATATATTGGATAAAAAAATGCAAATAATTATCAAGTAACTTTTTGAAGAAGCACAGTTCCTTGTTCTGTGTTGATATGTGGGTACACAAACTTCCTGAAGCTGGTTGCAAAATATATTATTAATCAAGTAACTCCTTCTAAGAAAATACCTTTGATATAAGAAATTGGTATGGTTATGAATCAGCCCAGCAAAATTTGTTGAGGTGTCCTGTAGCATCAATGTATCAAACTCCTAGCAGTCTTCACAGAACTCATTTTTTTAATGACTAACCACACCTTTGCAGCATCCTACAATCTTCAGTGTGTGCTGCCCTACAGTAGCCAAAAAATCATATTAAATGGATAGGAAGATAGACAGCTTGCACGTAGAGACTAAGTTTTTCTTGGCCAACTGCCAATGTGTAAAGTAGACAAAATATGAATTATTTAGCCAGAAGTCCCAGGGGAAAAAAAAAACAAACCAGAACAAACAAGAAGGATGTCTTTAATAATGAAATGTCAGAGGAGAAGGAAATATTGTAGTAATAAATATACTGAATTTACTAAACAGAAAGAATATGCTGAGCTCTTACTACAGTGATATATCCTGTAATAGTAATGCCAGAATTTATCTGGTGCCTGTGGTTAAATGTACTCTTTTTTAAGAGACTGCAAGGTTTATATTTTTATTAGGCTACTGGTACTCAGGACATCAATTTTTAATTGGTTTCAAAGCACCAAAGCCCTACATCTGGACCTTAATACTGTGCCAACTGAGAGAGGAGCATGCAGCCCAGTAAGTCATGAGTGCTGCTTTGCACAGCACCTGGGGTTTCCTCAGACCTATCCCGAGGGGAGCTGAATTTTCCAATGCTGGTAAAGGACTTGAATGCCTACAGACCCCATGTAAAAACATATGGATATGCATGTGCACTGTTCCAGGAAATGTTTTTTGCATTAATGGGTGAAGTAATTGGTTGCCAGAACTGGGATTGTCATTTCTCATCTTTTAAAGTACAATAACTATATCTGAGTTGTAATACTTAGGCACCAAATAACTCCTAGCCATTAGGTGTAAATATAAGCTAGGAAAATATTTTTAGATGTGCAGTTGTTTGTCCATCCTGCTAACAGAATAGGGAATCCATTTCTTTTGTGCTTCCAAGCTTCTGAATCCAGCAGACACTCCCTGTGAGTGATTCAGTAGGATGGAAAGTTTTATTCTCAGTATTCAAGTGGATATGATCAGGGTCTAGAATCAGGTAAGTCATAGGAGCTTAACTGTTGGGAGAGCCATGATTACACATTCCAGGGAAGCATTTGGTGTTCTCTGGGGGTGTCTATACCAGCTCATAGAGGGAGGGGAGCTGCAAGCTGCCTCTGGCTGCATGTGATCCCTGTTAATGCAATCCAAACTAAGCCAAACCCCAGCTGAGTCCAAGCTAAAAACGCCTGGTAGGAGGGGAATGTGTATTCATTTAGACAAGACATTGTGTTGTTTGACTTTTTGGCTTGTTCCTATCCTATGCAAAGCCCTCCCATGCCTGTTCAGAACTTGGGTCCTGTGTGGCACAGCCCACACATTTACACCCTGATGCATCTCCTCTTTTGAGAAGTGAAATCCTAATGCCAAACAGGTTGCAAGAAGAAGCTAAAATAGCTGTTTTGTTCAGCCCAACAAATTGAAAGCTGAAATAGGATCTCTTTTTGCAATTATAAAGAAATGAAAGGAGTATGCAAAAGGGAAAGAAAGAACTGTGTAAGCCAAGGGAAAGGACTGGCACAGGAGGAAAATGAGCATGAACTGCTCGATAAAGAAATTTTATCAGGAAATAAGAGGGGAGATTATCGCCACTAGCTCCCAGTGAGGCTTTGAAATCGTCTTTCAGTGGGAGCAGTCAGGGCAAAAACTACATAAATTCTTAGGAAAACCACAGACTTGTATTATGGTATGACTACAAGAAATTGCAGCATATTTGAACTGATAACCCTGACAGTCCTCTGTGATTCAGCACTTCTGTGTTCCTATGGATGAGTGCCTCAGTGGTATGTAAGCCCTAAGTCCTGAAATATTGCAACAGCTCACAAGGCCTGCAAACAGAAAGAGTGGGCATGTGTGTTTATTCATATGTATATTTCTTACACATACATATGTATTTACATATACAGGTATGTTTATATATATATATTCATACATAAAAGGAGTACCTTTATCTGAAGGAGAAACTGATGTCGTAAGATAAATACTTCCAGTTTACAGTAATGGTCAAGCTCAAGGAGAGACTTGCCTGTTAGGAAGAATATTCTTGCTCTTAAAGAGAAGTAAAAAAACAATGGAAGAAAATGCATATTGTCTAAGCAAATTTAATTTTGTTGAATATTTATCCGGGCCAGCACTTCCTCAAGTGATTATCTTTTCTGTTGTAATTCTGTGTGTATTCCTTGTTATTACAATTCTGGTGCCTTTAAGCTATAAACCTACTTGTCCCTCAGAAAGGAGTTGCCCTTAAAGTACATTTAATAAACTAATACGAGTTAATTAATGGGGCACTGCCTTGTGAGAAATAGCAATAGCTTTCCTTCCTGTCTGCCCTTGATTCTGCAATAGAGCTGGGGGGATGAAGGTGAATAAGGTTGTGTGTCTGTGCATTGATTTGTAGGCTCGAGGACTGTCACCAGAGTGTCTCCAGGGGTGCCCCAGGGATTCAGAGCTCTCAACAATACAATGGCTGAGACCAAGTTGAAACGCATGAGGGAGTAAGTAGCATATATATGTCTTACCAATGTGCAGGCAAAGAATATGGTTTTGTAAAACTGCAAAGCAGACCAAATAAAACCCAAAAATCCCATCAACAAAAAGAAGTGGATGGTAAGGTGTTTAGAGATTTGCCTACTTGCCTCCAAAGAGGATGAAAGTTGGCCCTCACTTCTGATTGTTTTCTTGGAAGCTGCACAATCACTGACATCCTTCCAGGATCCAGTTTGCCTTCCCTGCTCTCTGTGTCATTCTGACTTTCACTTTCTTTATTAGCACAACCCATGTCCATAAATTACCTGCAGATGTACACATTACCATCACATTTGCTGCCTTACCCACACTTCATTCTTGCCTGGAATGAAAAGTAAGTGAGTTTGTTTCCCATGGTGATATGATGTTTTAAACCAAACAAAATTGCTGCTGTTGTCTGGGATTTTCAAATGAGACAGAGGAATGTACATGGGCAGTTCCCTTTGAAACTCATTGTCTACATTGCTGAAATCCCAGCTTTATTTATAAAGGTTTCAGTGTCTTAATAAAAAACCCATCTGTGCTTCCTTTCTAGAATGTACTGGTTAATGTATCTTGAACCTTTATCTTGGTTCAGTAATTTCTGGCCTTCTAAAATTTATTGCATCCTAATTTAGGTGCTGATCTGATAATCATAGTGATGTGTATTATTTCTGAGCTCAAATATTCTTTGCAATGCTGCAAGATTCAACTGCTCTCAGAATGTAAACTCTTTTAAAAAGGGCAGTTTTTTCTCTTGCGTAGGTGGACAGTGCCAGTAATGTGGTGGATGTTACTGGAATACAAATAAGTTCAAACAGTAGATGCTAGCAGTTACGTGAGCTTTCTGAAGAAAATGAGTACAATTCCAACAGCATTGATAACAATTACTGTTAAAAACAAATCACCATGTACTTCAGGATAATACCAATCACATTTGCTCCTGATAGAAGTTGTTTGGTTTTACAGTATTTCAAGATGCAGCAGTTCCCAGGGTTTCACTTCATGCCTTTATTGTGCAACCACTCCCAGGTCTCACAGCCTTCCACTTGTACTTCTTTCCATTCTCTTTTCATGGAAACTGTTTAAAAATAAATTAATGCATTGTGTTGTCCCAGCTACTTACAAGGTGAGATTTTTAGTCAAAATGCCCACTAAACTTAAAGATTTCACCTGGTGTTCTCATGGTTTCTGGATAAAAGTTAACATATTTTAATTTCATGGTCATTGCTTTTAGGGCTGAGGTATGATTAGATCACTTCTTTCAAATTCTGTTTTTCCAGTGGTGTTTCATAGTTTACATGGTTTGTTGTGACTCACATTATTGTCCTTTCTCCAGAACATAGCATGACTTTTTCATTTTATGAATATGTAAAGGTGAGAAAGGACTTAATTAGTTGGAAAGTAAAGTGTTAAGGAACAAGTCAATGAGCAGAGTACCCAGCATGTGTGTAGTCAAGGAGATCCCTGCAGACTCTGACCCATGGCCCATCTGCACACAGGCCACAGTGGGGTTTTCAGTCGTGAGAAGGAAGCACACGTGGCTATGAATCAATATAAAAAGACACAGCTTTTCTGCTCATCCCTCAGCAAACTTCATATGATGTGTTTGTTGAATGTCATCCACATAACAGTGCCACATAAGCAAGGCTAATATAATTTAGACTTGTGCTATTCAGTTTTACTCTGGTAGATGCAGACTTTTTTTTTAGGGGGTTAATCTTCCTGATGAAAGAGACAATGAGGGGGATTTGTCCTACAGAAACTGAGTAGCTGGAGTTCCTAAAAGGAAGGGAAGAGCAGAGCAGGGGAGATAATGAGGAGAAGCAGTGAAATCTGTTTGGTTGCCAAGTTACTCTAGAAAGGGGACTATGAAGATTTGGGATTTCCACCATTTTCAGATGTTAGGAGCAATAGATTCTGATGAGGGGAAACTCCTATATCATGAACTGCTCCTAAAGAAACTTTGTGCCCACACATTACAGATGATGTTATTGGATGAAAGTGTCAGTGGCTCTGATAAAATTAATCTAGAATAACACAAGGTCTAACAGAGAAAGCTCTTTTTAGCCATCTCCAATGAGATGTGAATGATGTTGGCTTGCAAACAACTATAGCACGGCAGACACTTGACAAGATGTGATGTGCTCATTGCTTGACTTCCTGCATCATAATTCACTAAATGCCTTCTTTGACTTGCTATGTATCAGAGTGTCAATTTAGGAAGTTTCAACTGTATTTTTATGCAGGACTTGACAAGGATATTCATGTGAGAGGGAAGCTGTGCTAAGAATCTTTATATGAATAGAGAAGGAAGCCACTGATATTTCGAATGTGGTAGTGCTTGATTTCCTCCTATTTTAAGTGAAAAGAAATGGCTTTTCTTTTAGCTACAGCCCCTAAATATTTTCCCTGGCTTTTTCTTTCCAATTATCATTGCACTCTGTGTTCCAGTTGATCACATCAAGCATCAATGTGAATCTCTATCCTCTCAGTAAAAGTCATGATAAAATTGCCGACTCCAGTGATAACAATTTCTAGTTTGTTATATTTGGTATCAGAATTCATTATAAAGTTTATAAGAGCAGAGATTTATCTTTACCTTTCAAGCACAGTTCATTGTCTCCACAAAAAATTTCCACTTCAGTGCTAAGCATTTCGATATTAGGATCTGCAGTGTTGCTAAGAAATCTCCATTTTTTTAATCAGTTCCCACCAAAGTTATCATTATGCTCCTTCCCAGCTCTGCATGCCAGGAGTGAGAAGTCAACCAAATACAGAAATTGGAACTATGAGACTCTTATTCCTCATATTGGGCTTTGTAACCAAGGAATCATGTCAGATGCAGGAAATGGAAGGAGCCATTTCCTGGTATTTTCTGTCCTGACCACAATCTAATTCTCGTGGTGTTCCCATCCTTGATGGTACGAGGTAACTTGGTGCATGCCGAGTCTGAGAAGTGTTACTGCCACATGCTATCTAGAGCCAAGTTATCTTCATGGAGAGATCATGAAGACAAAACAAATGACTGTTCCACTGATGTTCCCCTACAGAGACTTTCCAGCTATGCATCTCAGAAGAGAACCACGCTGTTCTTCAGAAGCAACTCCTCAAGCCAAAACACTTTTCCCCTGTCAGATTTAATTTTAGTAGCACCTACTAATTTTTTTCCCCTGAGGTCCATACAAAAAGCTTAGTACTGATCATTTTGTGCTCCTTTGTGGAGATATCCATGAATACCTACTATGAGTCATTTTAATAGGCATGAACTTTAATATGCACTTTAGAATTCAATAAAATGTATGGCAGTAAAAGGAAAAGGCTTTTCTGCCCCAAATTTTAAATAAATTAAAATCCTTTAGCCCAGCAGTAAGCACCTCTTAGTCAGTCCCCAAAGTCTTATGCACAGCAGCATACCACGATCAGGCAAAAGACTTCCTCATCCCCTGCTGAGTGTAAGTAAAGCAGTCTTTCAGAAGTCATGAAGAAAAAGCACTAGGTGATATTTTTATTCTGCTCCTGTGAATGCTCGTAACACTATTGGTTTAGACTCATGAGCAGTATGTATAGATGTTTTTTGTGCTTGTGATGCTGCCATCAAATGCATCGTTCATCTTAAAAATTCAGAAATAAAGGTCATTTTGAGGTTGTTCAGTAGTCACTGAATGTTCTTTGAGATAAGTGGTCCTAAAATGCCAGAAATATAGAAGACTTTTTGTGCATTTATTTGCGCAATTAAAAAAAAATTATTACACTAAAGAAAATATTTACTTGATGTAGTATTTCAATTTATGCAGAGTGGACCTTTCTGAGCCAACTGAAACTAGTTTTGTTATTGACATCATTGAGGACAGCTTTAGTGAAGACAAAAGCAACAAATAGAGAAGAGTTAATAGTTTTTTAAGATTTTGATTTAAAAACTTATCACTGACCTTTTGATTGCCATTGGCTGTCATGTTGAAGGTGTCATGATTTAAACATGCTTGAGGAATAAGATGTCTTCTCAGAGATAAAAGACATACTTGGTGAGGAAGTTCATTGACACTGTCTGAGCTACCACATTTTTTGCAGGTGAATAGAATACTCTTGAAGGTATTGATTCTGAAATGTTTTTGAGCATTGAATTTTCTCGTACACACACCACAGTGTTCTGTCCAACACTCCATTTTCCGGTAATAATTTCTGTCTGGTGATCCCAAGACATCTTACAGCATGACAATAGTTTTCTGCATCTCATGGGCTAAGCCAAAATTTTATTTACTAATCCGTCTTCCTTGTCAGTTTATCACACCTCATTTTTAAAGGCCAGTCTTGAATGAGTCTATTGAATTCATTATGGAAACAAATTAAACTTCTTAGTCCATGATTTTCTCTTTCTTTTACTGAAAATCTACCTTAAGACAATTGCAGCATTACCTTCCAAACCCAAATTTGAAGAAAGTATTTTGGGTTTGCTGTTTGCTTTACAGGCGAGAGTGCAATAAATTCAGTGGAAACACTGAAAGACTGAACCCTGCCTGTATGGGACCAGGCTGGAATATTGGTCCTCGGCTTCTGTCAGGTAGAAGTGAATGAATGCTCAGGAGCCATTGCTGTTCCAAGGCAATGGCTGAAAGAGAAAGTGGGAATGAGTAAATCTCCTCCCCTTTCCATGACAAAAATGGGCTGCTTCTCTTTTGGCACTTTGTCTCTTATGTTGCTCTTCTCCATCCTGCATCTCAGGATGGGAACAGCACGTCACCTGCCAACACCATAATTTCAGCAGTTCTTAGCAGCTTTACTTTTGTTATGGTGCACTTTGAAATGAATAATGAGAACAAACTTGGTAGTTAGAGTGAGTTAGTATTGGGGCACAGTTTTAGTTTGATGCATTTTCTTGGGATGCTCATCTTTTGCCCATTTTGCACATTACTTGAACCTCAGGTCGTAGCCTTGAACCATTGTGTCATATTTTGTGAATTTGCTTAGATATGTAAAGAAAACACAGGTT